TTCAATGATGATTGTGTGAAGTACTTCTGATCCTTGTAACAAAGACAAAGCTGCACAAGGACTGAAATCATGGGTTTCAGTAGCAGCTAGAATCTGGTTTAGAGCTGGATAGTTTCTTTGGTGATCTTGGAAGTTGTTCTTAATCCTTTGAAGTCCCCCTTTAGTAAACAAGGAAGTTAATACTGACATTAAAAGTGGCCAAGTACAAAATATATTACATAATAAGTACAGACAACTATGACTTTTTTGTTTTTTAAACCATCACTTCAAAGATTTCCCTAGAACTGCTAATCCTAAAGAAGTAGCTAACTTTAGGTACATAGTACAGGGTCTCACTACACAGCTCTGACTCCTAGTGATTCTCCTGCTTTCAGCCTCCCCTAGCACTGGGGTTAAAGGTGTGTGCCACCATGCCCTGACTCGGTGGCCAGCTCAACACACCCGGGGCAGGGCTGGCACAGCACATGGTGCCATGGATTGAACCCTGTCCCTGTGCTTGCCTAGGTAGGAGTATTGGTCACTGAGTTATCTCTGCAACCTCTAGTTAATTTTCACCTAGTAACATTGATTTGTTTTCTTTTAAGGAGCACTGTGTGGGTAATATCTACTGAAGGTCAAGTAGGGACCCTAGTTTCAATGTCACCAATGTTAAAATTACTGTACTTATTTGTGTGTGGTAACTTGATGATGAATATAGAGCAAATTTCTGAAAACCTATAAATAAGCACATAAGCTGCTGGGTATCGAGATAGCTCATCCGGCAAGCCTAAGGATCAGAGTTCGAGCCCCAGTACTACATGCCGTGATAGCCCTGAAACTGGGCATGGCAGCACATACCTTTAATTCCAGCACTAGGAAGCTGAGACAGGACTATTACTGAGTCTGAGGTGCATAGTAAGACCCTGCATCCAATAATTAACAAAAAAGACATTTCATAATAAGGGTGTCTTTGATGCTTCCTTTTACATATAAACACAGTATAATGTCCTATCCTGGCTTCTACGATATACTGACTTGAGTAATGTCATATTTTTTCACTTACATGATCTATTTTTGTTTTATCCTATAAGCTAAGAAAATACACCAAGAACAGTAATAGTCTTGGGTTAAATATTTGCCACAGAACAGGTCCATTTAGACTTAGCCACAATGGATTTCCAAACCAATAAACACTGCATTAAGTGACAGACTGAAAGTTAATATATATATATATATATATATATATATATATATATATATGATGCAAAGATGAATATCAACAGAACCATATATGAACTCAGTTAAAATATCACCTTTAAGGAATCAAAAAATTCTTATCAAAAGCTTCTCTTTTTAATACATTCTCCTCTAGGACATTATCTCTTATTCGATAATCTGACAGCTCTAACAGAGCAAGAAAAAGTCCTTTTATATTTCATGATAGGTTTAATTAGGTAATTCCAGGGGAGGAAAAAAACATTAAAACAAATTCTTATGGTATCATCTGATATATCCAATTACATGGGTACGATGTAACGAAAACAGTTACAAACTTATATATGCATATTTACATTATATACTCAAAAGTATCAAGCTCATCAACTATATCTGAGGAGATACATTATGGCATGGACTAAACAATTTTTCATTGTTCATCAGAAAGAATGCAGTCGCGCTTTTAATGGAAATAACATACACGTGAGGCACTTTTCAGGTCAAGAGAACAGAAAGCAAATGACACTACACATGGGAAATGCTCACAAAGATCTCTGTGTATCTTTAATACAAAGGCTTTTCAACTGAATTATCTTGAAATTTTTCAAAACTAACAACATAAGCAGTTTAGGAAGCTTTCAGGAACAACGGCTAACATTTATCAGTGTAGCAAAGCATATGTAAGTTTTATAACCACCTGGCTGCTAGGAAAACAGTACCTTAAAGCCCTTTTGTGTTTTATTTCTTTTTGGTTTACATAGAACACCTCCAGTTGTTTTCAAAAAAATTTACTTTTTCAAATGCTGAGTGTAAAACACCTTGTAGTGCTATAACCATTATATATATATATATATATATATATATATATATATTACAACAATACATAATACAAGTTTGTAGTGCTTTTCCCTTAGAAATGTGATAATGCAGGTTTATCAAGAATGAAAATATTCAGTGAGGAATCTGCTTTTTTTATGAACTACAGTTTTCAAAGTTTTATAAATGTTACACTTGTTTAATGTACCCTCAGGCTACAATTATTGATCTTTAGTACATATTTGCAGGTTATATATTCCAGGTGTCATCATATTGCCCAAAATGAATTTCAATGCAAGAACCATCCTTCGAATTCCTTCCATTTCCCACAGAAAGGAAAGCACATGTTTCCTGGACTCTGACTACTTACATGGATATTAAGAAACATCTCTGCCATGAAGGGGAAAGGAGAGGAAAAGGAAAAGAAAGCAAGAGTCACCCAAGGTATCAGATGGCACTATACATGAGTTGAAAGTGCATTTGTGTAACTTCAGAAGCTCACTGTAGGCACTGCTGAATAGCCAATGAAATAGGTAGTCTCAAGTTTTTCCCTTTCAGTTTTAATCCCTGGTTCATCATCGTGTCTCAGAAACACACAGTCTCTCTAAAGTTGTCATGGTAAAATACAGGCCATTATGTTATTTATTTTTAGAAATTCTCCCTGACTGGCAATGGGAGAAAAAATGAGAACACCATTTTGGTAATGGCTTTTGCGAGTTAAAGGAACTGGTTCTATAAATGTCTGTGCACATCCATTAAGTATGATTGCCAGTTCCGAGTACATCAATAAATATTTTAAAACAGGATGTGTAAAAAAGTGCTTCAAATCTTTCAGTAACCAACAAAATGCATTAGAGAAAAGAATCATTTTACAGTTGCTGTGAGATATTTCTTACTCCTGGTTTCCTTGGTAAGAGGTGGCCGCCTCTTAAGTAGCCCTTTACCAGCCCTGGTGAGGAGCCGTGTGGGACCCTCAGCTCCACCTCGGGCCTGGAAATGATCCAGCAGGTGTGCTGAAACTCCAGAGGGACACTTCTTCCGGAAGCAAATTCTTCTAAGCACGGAGAAATTCTATCTGAAAACTCTCAATTCCGAATGTTTTCGTTATGCCATTTAGATGACTTCATTTTCAAAATTTACGTTAACAGTTTTAAACTGTTTCATCATCTGCTTAAACAATTAAACAAAAGTTTTCAAAGAAATGCCAAAAGGCAGCGCCAAATCTGTACTGAACAAGAAAATGTCCCTTAATCTTCATATACATATCTGAGAATCAGAATTAAATTACCTTGTTTTCACACAGGAATTCTCACTTATGTAAGAGAAAATTTCCATCTAGGGATTCAGGTGATAGTATATCATCAGTTTTCTAGACCTGATTTGGAAACTGGACATCTTAATAACTGCCAAGGTGAAATAAAAACCATTTCATCACCATAGTTTTTAATGAAGAAACTTTTTTAAAATTGTAAAGGAAAAAAAATGGGGATGGGACAGTAAAATCTTAGCAGCAAAGTGGTTAAACAAATTGAAAATATTAATGCACAAACATTAAAATATTAAAGCATATACGTTGCATATAAAATACAGTACAGAACCAGGAGTAGCACTATACCGATTAGTACGTAACAGAAGAAATGATTAAATTTGTTCTTCTCAGAAGTATATACATAGTTCTTTTCCACAGCATTTTCCTATATAGCCAGCAAGTTATTTTTTTCAGTTATTCACACCTTGCTTAAACCTGAATTATAAACTTAGCACTTACAAATATGAAAATTCATTCATAAGGAAACCAGTATTTCCATTTCACCAATAAAAAGGAATTTTGAAAGTTAACAGTCTATTCTAGGAAACCAAGTTTACTGAAAACTTCAGGGATAAAGATCATCTGCTGTAGCAGCGTTCCAAAATATAAACAGTAAAAATAAGACTTAAAACTGCTGCTACAGTGTCATGTTTTGGATTTAGTTCATCCAATTGATTTTTAGTACAAAACTAGAAATAACCTCTTCGTCATAACATCTATAGTTATCAATATATTTTTCTTCTTTTCAATGTGAAATAATACTTCATGATGGTCTATATACACAATGTTGTCAGTTCAAGCTGTCATATAAATATAAATGCTTTCTTAAAAAAAAGTATTTTACAGACAGATAGTGTTATATACATTGTTCAGCTTGATGTGGGGCAACAGAAAAAAGCAAACATTAGCTTAAGTTTGATATGTGGAAAGAATGATACATAAATGATATTTAAAGACCTGCATAGAAAATGAGCTCAAATGGTAGTGTGATTTTCAATTCTTATGACCTCTGAAACACTGAGCCATAAAAAAAGACAGGGAAAAAAAAAAAAAAAAAGGCACGAGTCTCCACGCTACCGCCAAGGGAATGATCTCAAGGAAGCCTGTGCTTGGTTAGTCTTCATGTTAACACTTCTAGGACAAGAAGGAAAGACAACAACAATGAAGACAACAAGATAAGGAAGAAGACCGAAAAGACAATGTGACCCCAAAGTACTTTAAACAATTTGTTGGAACATGTATCCTACTACTCTGTAAATTAAACACCCAGTAATGCTCTGCAAAAGAAATAAATTTATATGTACAAGATATTTCATTCACAATGCTGGATTAAATACTTCCCCGGGGTAGTTTAGCACACATTTTAACATAAAATAATTTTCCTTTCGGCAGGTTTAAATAAAAATAAAATGTAACTAAGAAAAGCTATCACTGTTCTGTGAATAAACACTGAGAATTGAGCTCAAAGGTGAGTAACACAGCTGAACATACTCTGGCTTAGTAGACAGATGGACACCGTAAGAGGAAACGGTTTTACACTAACTCTCCAGTTACGTTTTTGACTTAGAAATCATTTGTAAATGCAGTGTAACTTTCTAAAGGAGGAAACTCTGAAAGAAAACAACTTGCTGGTTGAATACCACAAAAAACAAAATGACTACAAAAACTTCACTTTTTTCTATGTTTACTCAGTCTCTTTTCATATAAAAATAAGTGTTACGTTCCCATCAGAACATTAGACAATTACATCTGTGCTTTAAAAAAAAGTTGGTCACTCAAGGATATTAGAATATTTTAAAGGATTTAGATTACCAGAATGTACAGATATAACTCAATATAAACTGTAGCCAAAAAGAAATGAGGATGAAAATATGAAATCATTCACATGGAATAAAAACGTTATTAATTAGATGAGTTAAATATTCAAAATATATGGAATGTGACAGTAGATATATATGTATCTACTTCAGAACTAGGAAGGGCAAGAAAAGTTTAATATGTAATAATTCGTACCTTACATTTAGTTAAATATAAACATTTGTTATTTATACATAAAACTGCTGTCAAAAGTCAACTAATAAATGGTTTAGTTGCACTTGCTTTACTTCTTGTAATATCCAAGTGTTAACTTTTCTTAGATTGAAATCAACTGTCCTCTAGTGCACTTTTTAGTTCATGTCCTAATATAATTAAACCTTTATAAGTCCCATCACCTAATGCATAAATATACAGAAATTAATCCCTTTTAGTTGGATCGTATTTTATGCTGACTTTTTATAGTCAAAAACCAGAAATGATTTCCTCCTGCAAGTACTCTACACCCTGTAACAAAACATGCCATGCACTCAAGGGAAAAGGTAAGCATGGCTAGCTTGTGAAATGCCAAAGAACTGCTGAGCTCTGCTTCCTCCACGTGTGGCCCCAGTGACACTAGGCAAGGCTCCATACTGCTTGCCAAAAGCTTCCACAAATCCAAGTTAGCTAATTCCTGGAAACAAAGGTTTTACGCTCCTTGTGGCACTGGATCCTCTCACCCAGCAGCTTTATGTTTCCCCCCACAGCACCCACACGCCTCACCACAGCGATGGCACATTCTCAAAGGGACGTAGCAGCACATACATGGTACAATGAAAGACAAAGCTACCAAGGCTAACCATCGTAAGCAGAACTTGTCGTCGCTAGTGTCGCACGAACAGGGATCAGAAAAATCTCCCTCCGAGTCTGACATACAATGATACAACATGCTCTCTGCACAGAGCATGCAACTAACTTGATATATGCATCTTTTAATCGGATCCGGAGCATCCTGACATTTTCCCCTGCCATTTTCTTCATGATTGAACCTTTCCTGGCAGTATACGCAGCGAGAACGTTCACCATCCTCTTTTCTTCGTTTTGACTTCTTAACTTTTAATGGTTGTGTCTTAAATACCACAGAGTCTTTGAGTGAACTTAACTTAGTCTCATCCCCACATGAGTAGAGATAGTCTGATTTTTTACTGTCTGGCTTAGAAAAGTGAATACTGGAATCTGCGTCCTCTCTCTCCAAGTCATTTTTCCACATGTCAGGATGCCTGTAGTCTGCATACCGGCGTATTAGGATATCTCGAGGATTTATTCTGACAATCTCATCCTCATCTTGAAAGCTGACGTGTCTGACTGACTTCAGAGGGACCTAAAATGCAAAGACAGGAACAGTGAAGACTGTAACAGTTAATTTTAAGGGTCAACCTTATAGTGACATTTCCCTAGGTATTTGTTCAAAGATGATTGTGGAAGTTCTATGATTTGCTTTTTGGATGACAGTGCCTCAGGGGGTGGACCACGACTGAAGCACGGTAGCTTCCACAATGGGCGAGGATCTCACCCAACTAACTTGCAGACTTTGGAGTGAAGAGTGCTGTCCCTAGAGCAAGACACAGTTCTGCTGGTGGGCTTCTTGTGAATTCAGACCACGACTCTCCTCTAGTTTCCAGCCTAATGGCTTACCTGAAAATTCTTAATGTGTGCCTCTGCTATCACATGAGTGAATTCCTTAAAAATAAAATTACCTGCAAATCTTCCTGATTCTGCACAGAAGATCCCTAACAGAGATTTTGCTGTCAAGAGGTGGGGCAGGACTGCAACAAGTCTCTTGAAAACGTGGCAATTGTTCTGGAATTAGGTAGTAGGTAGAAGTTGAAAGAGCTTTAAGATGCATGTGTGGAAGGACCTTTAGATGGCTACTGGTAGAAATAAATGGTGACTTTAAAGGTCCTTCTGGTGAAGCTTCAGATGGGAATGAGGGGTGGAAAAAGGCAATCCTAACTAACTATAAAGTGGCAAAGAAAAATAACTGTGTTCTAGTGGTTTCTAATTATTTTGGAAGTTAGCACTTGTGAATGTTAAAAACATGGAGTAGTGAAATATGGCTTAATTTGTCCTTGATGTGTATAGTAATATATGAGAGGACCAAGATAAATTGAAAAAAGGAATTGTTAATCAACATGAAACCAGAATTGAAAGATCTGAAAAATTCTTAGCCTAATTATATTGCCAAAAAATGAGAAAAGGGTATCTTAGAGAAAATACCAAGGATGTGGTTGGACAATCACACAATAAAGCATAAGGATGCCACAGTAGACCAAAAAGGGGCAGAGACAGGATGAAGAAAGGCTCTAGGGTTCTGTAGAGTATGCCAAGAGGGTTATGTGGCTGTGAGCATTCAGTATCCTTTAAGAAATGGGAAATGGCCCCTGAAGGTAAAGTTGTTTCCCTCAGAGCCCAGGGAGCAGGGCCAACTCCTCAGAGGAACATGGTGCAGCAGCCCAGGGCCCTGGTCATGACGCTGACACTGAGGCTTCTGGGGGTGGGACCACCAACCCAGGGGACCTGGAGGATGGGTCAGGAAGCCAAAGAAGATTAATCCCAAGTTTTAAAATGGAGTGAAATTTTCCCTCTAGGGTTAGACTTACTCAGGACCCAGGACAGTTTCTCTCTTTCAGTTTCTCACTTTTGAAATGGAAATGAAAATACATTATGTCTTTCCTACCCCAGCACTTCAGAGGCCAAAATGGGTTTACGGCTCACAGCTGGAGGGAAAGTTTCCCTTAAGACAAATCATACCTTGACTCTCACCCATTCTTAGTTGAGGTGATTTTTCAGAAGAGATCAGGGACTGACAATAGAGGTTGAATAGGTTGGTGGGATCCAGGGAACCAATCCTGGGAGCAGAAACTAGAATGTGGTGGGCTCAACTGTGTCCTCTCCAGTATATCCAAGTAAGTAATGGCTGGAGATATGGTCTTTAAAATAAGGTACCAGAGTAGGCCTGACTACTCTCATTAGCATCCTTGAATAAAGAAATCTGGGATGCACTAGGAATGTGTGAGCACAGGAGAAAACTGTGTGAGCACACGGTGAAACTGGCCAGCCAGAGACCAAGCAGAAACGGCTCCAAGACACCAAGCATACCGCCACCCTCAGAGTCCTAGTGCCCAGAGCTCTGAGGACGTGTTCTCTTGTAACAGTCCCTCACTCTGTGGTACCGTATATTGCTATGGTAGCCCCAGAAAACATGTAGACTGGGACACAGGTCTACAGCCTGGCCATGCAGCCAGTCTCCGGCTTAAATGATGCAATACACACACACGTGCCTGAGTAATCACCCGCTCCACGCCTAGGCCCTCACAGACTGGGTCTTTGAGAATAAAGAACAAAATTAAGTTGGTTTTTTTTTTCCCCCAGCTCAGATTCTTATGTCAATGTTAAATTTCTGAGCATAGGGACTAGTCTACAAGTAAACAACTAACTCAGGCTAGGAAGGAAGAGCTTCTATTCCCCAATATCTAGAAGTAGGCTTAAATTCTAAGTCCAGTGGGGGGAGGATACTATCTGTTCAATTAGCAACATAAAATGGTCTCATCTAATGATAAATACAAACTCACAAGAGAAGTTTGGAGGGGGTCTAAATACCAGGATGTTAAAAGCCCACATGCAGAAAAGCTAAAAACTAAAATTTTTTGTGGTATCCCTCAACTGACTAGAGAATTAGAACCATAAAATTTCACCAACCTGCTAAGTAGGTATTTCACGTCAGAAGGCTTCACTTACCCTATTTTGAGACTTAAGACTTCCAGATTCCTTAGATATTTGCCGCTGTACATATTCCATACTTCTGGTCTGAATGTCTAGGCCCGGCTGACTAAATGTTATCTAGAATACAAACATTTTCCACATTAAATGACTAGAGAACGAATCGCTTTTAATGAAACCATATAAAGTACACATTCCAAAATTTCATCATCTGTTGGGAAGATATAAAAAGCACTGAATCACACCCTCCATCTTCATGTGTTGGAAATTAGGTTTCTTTTTTCCTCTTCAGAAAAAAAAAAAAAAAAGTGGCGGGGCTCAAACCTAGGCCTCACCTACCTGCCAGGCAAGCATCTGGACCATAGCAGTATCCTGCCCTGTTAGGTCTTGATTTATCAAGAAATACGTGTTCCTCAAAATAACCAGCACCCAAGTGTCTATCAAAAATGATTGTGTAAATAAATATTATAGCTATATATAGTCCTCAACCCTCCCCCCAAGAAGTTCTGATACACATAAAGTCAAGGGACAAGAAGCAGGGACAATTACTACTAAATAATATACAGTTGGGAGGTGGCGGTGATTAAAATATTCAGAAATTCAACAGTACTAATTATACAACCTTGTGAATACAGTAATATTTACCAAATTGTATTCTTCAAATGGGTACATTTTTTAATTTATTAAGTTGCAAAGCTCATTTCACAATTACAAAAATAATATAACAATCCTTAATTTTTAGAATTTTATGAAAAACTATATATATATAAAAGGACAGAATAGTATAATAAATTTCTATACGTCTACCAGCTAGCTCCAATAATTATCAGTATTTCAGTAATCTTGCTTTTTTTTAAAATTTTTATTTATTTATTTATTCAGTGTGTGTGTGTGTGTGTGTGGCCAGCTCAGCCCACCAGGGGGCGGGGCTGGCTGGCATGTGGTGCTGGGGGATTGAACCGCGGTCCCTGTGCTTTGCCAAGCTTGTTTCAAGTAGGTGCTTTAGACCACTGAGCCATCTCTCCAGCCCAATCTTGCTTTTTTTGATTATTTTCCTGGAATGTTTGGGTCCAAGTCCTGTCATTAAAAATGTAATAAAACTACAGCTCTGAAAATAAAAAGTGCATAAGACAGTATTTCTAACATGATGCATACAGTAAAAAATACTTATTTCGCCTCACACATTCAGTGCCTGTCACAGAAGTTAACCATCATGGATCACCTCTAACAAAGTCTTCTAAAACTGTATACATACAAAAATACAACCACATATATAAGGATACATGGTGATCTTTAAAGTATTAAATAAAATGAGACTTGTACCACGCCTTGTTTTATACACTTAGTAATACATTATGGACCTCGTGTCTATAATTAGGACACTTAAGAATTCAGGAATAGAGAACACTGTAGATTAAGCGGTCTGGGAAGGCTTCAGGAAGGAAATTAGGTTTAAAGTAAACACAGACTGAGTTCCTATTTGGTGAGGCATAAGAATAACAAAAGAAACAAACAAAGGAGCATAATTAAAAAGGCAGTAGAAAGGGAGTTTATCTCCTGATGAAATACAATAATCTCAAATAACACATTAAACGTATATACACCTGAAACATACTTCAAAAACGTTTACTGAACTGAATTTCAGTTTCAGAAATGTCATACACACCACTTAAAAACAACTTTAAAAACTACCTTAGTGAACAGAATATTAGTCCTTTCACATGATACATAAAAAGACAAATGACAATATTCTGTACTTACTAAATATTTGTAATAGCAAGCAGAAACACCAAAAATGACACTCAGTGTTTGGTGGCAGGTTTATTTATGTCAATAGGCATGATTGGGATCACTCCCAGAAATCAGGCCCCGACTTCTGGTGGTCCAGGGTTTCTATGGGAGAAGCCAGCAGGTTTACAGAGGCAGAACAGCTCGTCAGTTGGGGACTGGTTTACACAACGTGCGTCACAGAGACCAGCTATGCAGCACAGTGACCAACCCTTTCTAAACTGGAACAGGAACTACTACCTGGGCGACCAACAAACTGAAGTATGCTGCCTGCAGTTTTATAAAGTACACACCAATCAACTGCTGCTTTTTAAAACACTTAGATTTTGGTATTTTCCTACAAATATGGAGGACTTATCAGCTGAAAGGGCCAGCAGAGGGATTTCTTCAAATTTGGTCATAAGAATTTTAAGAAGATTTCATTTACAATGAGAATCACAGTAAAACAGTTATAAACAAAAGTAACAAAACTCATAAAAGATGTACAAATCTTGTCATGAAAAAGAGTTTTCTGAAGAGGAACAGAACTGGAGAGATCATATTCATGGACAAGACTGACTGAAGCATGTTTGAAGCTAATACACAGGATCAATGTAATTCATATTTAAGCCAATTAAGGATTTTTCATCAAGTTTGATGAGGCTGTTCTAAATTTTACGGAATGCCAAGTAGCCACAAAACAAAACGAAATGAAACAAAATGAAACAAAATGCAAAACTAAAAAAAACAAAACTTGAAAAAGGGCGTATGTCATTGGTGTTAAGATAGACAAAGACCAATAGATCAGAGTTCAGAAACATACATGGATCTTGAGGAATGAGGCTGGAAATATGATCACTACAGCACTACACGAATAGGAGAAAGGGTCCAACAAATAGTGCTAACAATGCATTATCTGTACAGAAAAATAAAATTAAGTCTACTCATGGAAATCAGTTTAAAGTAGACTAAAGACAAACCTTCATGATGTTCAGAATAGGAAGAAAATTCTGGAGACAAGGACAAGGAGAATTTTATAAAATAACATTGGAAAAAATATTATTCCAACTGCTATAGTCTGGAACAGCTGTTCAGTGAAGCACCACAAAGAGTGGAAACAATCAAAAACTAAGAAGTATTAGCCATAAAATAAAATTTCAAAAAGAATTTGTACTCAAAGTATGCAGAAACATGGCACTGAAAATTTTATTCCTTAGCAAGGTTACATTAAAGCATGTAGTTAAATAAATCTGTAAAGAACCACCACATCTACATCTACAATCTTTCAAACGTTTACTGTGTATTCCCTGTACTCATGGAACACATTGACAGCAAAGACTAATTTGTTTACAGCCTTTTGTAGCACAATGACACCAAACGTAACTGGAGACAAAGCCTGCACCAACACTGTTCCTAGAAACATTAAGAACCTAGAAACAACTGCAGAAGAAATCCACTAACGGAAGAAGTCACAGAAATAGTAAGAGCACAGTAATACAATTCAAGGCAAGGTTAGCATTAGGACGAAGATAAGGGGTAGCCTTGAAGACAAGGGAATGCAGGCGAGGAGACGGTTTTCACTCTAGTAGTTCGTAAGAGTTCAATATGTACAAAGTATGTCATAACCTGAGTATACTTGCATTTTGAATCAGTGTATCAGCCAAAGGAGTAAATACTTTATTTTCTTGCTGGCCCATCCAAAGAATTTGAACTGCCCAGAGAAACGTAAAAAATGTGTCAAAAGCCAACACTGATAATGTCTACCTATCGAATCATAAGGAAACAGACAAACCTAAGCTAGCAATGACAGTTCTCCATGTGTATCGTTTCTGCAAATCTACTGAATATGGGCCATGTCTGCCTTTATTTCAGACTGTTTCTTCAAGGATATATGTATAGTGAAATTCTTGAAAGGTACAAAGTTCCCTCTGTGAAGAGCGGCTTGCTTAGTGCCAGAATGCCAATGATCTCTGACCCTAACAACCAGCAGGCTAACTTCCCAGCATATAACACTTGGCTTCAGGATGTTCTGGCTCCAGTGCAGTGATGCACACCCACTATGTACGTGACCATCACCCTCTTGGGATCAGGGACCGACACAAACATCAAACTCATGCTAGGGTATTATGCTGCAAGTCTTTTGTGCCCGATTCAACAGTCCTAGCATGTGCGAAACCATCTATGTTGGTTTCAACTGAACATCACACATGACTTTTTTTTTTTTTTAATGCATTTGTTACAGGGTTTGCAGGGTCTACAGGGTCTCACTATGTACTATGTAGATCAGACTTGTAGTGATTCTCCTGTTTTCAGCCTCCTAAGCACTGGGATTACAGGCACATGCCACCACGCCCAGTCTCAATCGCCATCTCACTGGGCCTCAGGGGCAGGGCTGGCATGGCATGCTGGGATCGAACCCCGGCCACTGCACTCTGCCTAAGCAGGCACTTTAGTCCGCTATCTGGCTAGCTCTACACTATGACTTTTAATTATCATTTTCTTAAACCTGATTATGGAAATCTTTGAAAGAAGACTTAGGTCTTAGTTTCATGAAACAGAGAAGTTTCTGATCTGCAAATGAAGAACAGATGGTATAACAGGAAATTCATCCTATGGGGCCTCTCAGGTCATATCCAGTTGTGTAACTGGGATACAATATCAACAGTGCTAGCTGGACACAACTGCATATGGCTGATGAAGAAACTTCTATCTTGTACCGTGTATCTCTGAAAGAGAAAAACTATCCCATTCTACTTCCTACCGAGAGGCCACCTGTTCTAACATCACTAAGTTATAAATACTGCATCTAGTTATGCAAATTCATATGACTGCTGTGCTTGGAATGCAGGGAACTATGAAGAAGCCTAGTGCATGGACTACTGTTCCCCAAAGTCCGTGTGCTGAAAAGTGTGAAGGTTCAACGGAACACCACTGAGGTGACACCTGTCAATTCTACTACCACAGGAGTGGGCTCTGATTAAAGAACATGTTTGTTCCCTTTTTTTCTCTCTTGTGCTGTCACCTTCTGTCTACCATGGGATGGCAGAGTAAGAAGCCTTTACTTGTTGCTGGCACCTTAATACTGGATTTTCCACCCTTCAAAACTATCAGAATTTTTTAAATAAATTACCCAGGTGGGGGCTGCGGAGATGGCTCAGTGGTCTAAGAGTCTGCCAAGGCAACAGCAAGGACCCAGGTTTGATCCCAGTACCACATGCCACACTGGGCCTGCCCCAGGTGCACTAAGCCAGCCACCAAGACCAGGTGTGGTGGCACACACCTGTAATCCCAGTGCTGGACAGGCTGAAACAGGATCACTACAAGTCTGAGCTGTGTAGTGAGACCCTGTACCA